CCCCCCAAGCCAAAATGCGCTGCGGCAGACCGGGAGCCTACCGGGCCGGCCCAACCGGGAGGCTCCTGGTTGGGGTACGGTCCACCGGTCTGTCCGGGGACCCGCCCTGATTACATATTTATTTCTTTCAAAAAAGTTTATTTGTTTTTGAAAAAAGTGGTGCTGCAGGTAAAGACGACAGAGTACCATACAAAGTACATCGCCTGTGCAACAGAGTACAACGCAGGTACACATTCTTTTCTTTATTTGGACCGTTCCTCGATCAATGCATATCATTCTTGCCCAGGGGCCACGTACACAAATTCTAAACATCTTATACCCGAGAGATTCACGTAGGGAGGGATAAGACACACATCAACAAGAGGGCACCAAAGGGGTGAGGTTGCACGGTTCTAGCTTCTGTGGCTTGGGAAGTGAGGGCATTCCTCAAAACCCTGAGCGGGTTGGCAACCTCCAGATGATTGAGCTCATATCCAAGGTGTCTATGGTTGACCTGTCGCCCACCTTGTACTATGAGAGTCATGAGCAAAGAAAAAAAGACAAATTGGCATAATTCTATTAATTCCTCAGATCAGAGATGAACCTTGGGTTGGTATACACACCTCTGACAGGCAGTCAACACAGGCCGCATGCTGATGCTGCCGAAACATTGCTACAGCTGCATTAACAAGCTGTGGAACAACTGGTGCCAACACCCCACCAACCTCTCTTGCAGTTGTTCCCCACAGATGACAGATTGCGGCCGCCACATCAGCATCACCTGCACACTTGGACGCAATCTGGTCGATGGCTGGCCAAACCTGCTGAAGAATAGCCATTGCTGGGTGCCCACCACCAGCTGCAGCCCATTTTCCTGAGTCCCCACAAGCTGCCAAAGCGGCCATGATCCTTATGTCTGCTGCCAAACTGACAGTCATCGCACCTGTCAAATCCTAATAACAAACAAGACAAGATAGCCCGATGCAGATTTGACAGGGTAAAAAGTTACTAAAAACAAGGTTTCCGGAAAAAAGAAAAAAGGTGCAGTGAGAGATGGTTAATGGAAGACCCAAAATTCGGGGGTTTTCTCCACATCACTACAAGCAATGTCGTCGAAAATTTTGCGAACAAACTATGCAAGCTTATAATACAAACACCAAAAGAACAAACAGGCAGAAAAAAACAAAACAAAAAAAACTCAAAAGCACTATAAATTAGTATAAAACCCTATTCGGAGTAGCTTTCGGAGTTCGCCAAAACTTTTCCCGAATTCGGTGTTTTTGCCAACTTTTTTGTTACTGGTCCAAATACTTTGAAACCTAGGCTGGGCCGCCACCCGGCCGGGCGGGCCCAGGTCGGTTGGTCCCGGGGGGGTCCGCCCGGCGAAACCGGGCGGCGCAAAAACACAGCAAGGATTTTTTTTATTTTTTTTTTGAAGGCGGGGTTGTGCTGCGCTACCCTAGAGGACCCCGAATCTGCAATAAAAAGTGAACTTTGGGAGGTGGGGGGTGGGGGGGTGGAGGGGGGGGGTGCTGGGGGAGGGATGTCAGCGGGGGGTCTGGGGGGGCGATCTGGGGGATGTCAGTGCTGGTATGTCACAGACCTTGCAGGTGTGTATGTGGAAGAAGAAGAGGAGGAGGAGGAGGAGGACGAGGAGGAAGAAGAAGAAGAATAAGAAGGGTGGAGTATGGCGGGAAGAAAGATTGGGCGAGACGAAGTTGGGGGAAATGGCCGCCGCAGGGGAGGG